AACTCCAACATTAATATCACAGGCTTGAATTAAAGTACTCACGATATGATTCACTGAAAAACAGCAGCATGAAAGTCTAAAGAATGTCACCTTGAGTGGCTTATATGCTTCAAATGTCCGAGTTTCAGTCAGAAGTAGCAGTAGAATCCCAAACGGCTCCGTACCCCCTAGCTAAATAGTGCGCTTTAGAATTAATAAATAAAAGAAAGAAATGGCTTCTGCTAGAATTTCTGTCATAGTACACAGCTTGTCGAGTATGAATGTGGACGAATCCCAAATGACCGTTTTTTTTTTAGCAGTATTTTGCACTGTTGGGCTGCAGGAGTCAGTATTTAAGTTCCTATGTAGTGCACTGTGTAGGGAGCAGGGAGCTGTTTGAGATTCAGCCCCAGTGTGAGAAGAAGGGCGTCGTCAGACCCACAGAAGACTCATGATGGTAATTTGGTGACCAAAAAGTACTTATAAACTGAAAGTATTTGCAGTTTAAACAGTTCTGTGTTACATATGTTCACTGTTATATGAAAAACGTACAGTGATGGGCGACCGAACGTTCTTCTTCTCATTCAGCGGTCAATGGTTGCTTAGCAACGATACCGTACTCTAAAGGAACTACATTTCTTGGCGGAATACTTGTTTATGTCAATTATTATTAATAATAACTTTTAGAATAATTAATTATCTAAATTATAATAATAATTATCTAAAACATTTTGCATTTTAATACATTTCATGTTGGCCGCCGTTTGGTAAAAGCAATAAGCCACTCGAGGCGGTGCGTAACCCACGGCCTCTCGTGGCTTATTGCTTTAGCGAACGTTGGGCCTCATTCACCAACCGAAATTTCTTCTTAAAAACTTACTTATGCAGTTTTCACGAAGATTTTGATATTCATGTTTTCTTATTTGGGATTTGTTCTTAGGTAAGAACAGAATCTACACACACTTTAAGAGCACGTCATGAATCTGACATCTAACTTTTTCTTAGGACCTGTCTGAAGTACAGATTTAAGAAGAAGCTTAAGAAGATAGTGGTGAATGAGACCCAGTGTTTACGTCGTTTGACCTCAGTTTTTTTTAGGTTATCTCACTCATAACTCATGACAAAACCGCATATTTGATAAACCTTAGCGACACGAGAAAGCAGTTTACTTTGTGCCCACCACACGCACAGCCGCAGCCGCACGTTCGGAGGCTAATTTCTTGCAGGAGACTTGACACACAAATAAGTGGCAATTATCAAACTGCTCCAAAGTGGCTGGTAACTAGTTTTCTCTTTGAAAACTGACAAGTATTGCAATTTGTGTGAGCCACGTAGATTAAGACCACATGTTGGAGCTGAGGCTGTCGTGCTGAGCAGCTGGTATGCAAAAAGCCAACAAATACACGAGCGAGTCAGAGCGCCGCTCACGAGCGTCTCGCCGTTCCTCAGAGCAGATGAAGATGTTTTGAGAGTGTTTACGGTTTCGCTGTGTGTTAAAACACGTTTCAGAGCCAGAACATTCTCTCTCTCTCTCTCTCTCTCTCTCTCTCTCTCTCTCTCTCTCTCTCTCTCTCTCTATCTCTCTATCTCTATCTCTCTATCTCTCTCTCTCTCTCTCTCTCTCTCTCTCACTCACACACACACACACACACACACACACACCCTCACACTTCTCTTTTATTCTTCTAATCACACATGGCCAACTAATGCCTGTACACATTCTGTTCTTCATTTCTTTATTACTTTTTCCTTCTTTTATTTTTCTCCCCATTTTCTTTTTTTTGTTCTTTCTCGTTTTGTTCTTTCTTTTCATTCTTTCTCCTTTTCTTTCTTCTGCTTTAATTTTCTTCTCTCTCTGTCTCACTCTTTATTTCTATCTTTTTCTTTTTCTCTTACTTTCCATCTTTCTTTTTCTCCTTCTTTCTTTCTCTTTTTTTCTTCTCTCCTTCCTTCTTTCTCTCTTTCTTTCTTTCTCTTTTTCCTTCTCTCCTTCCTTCTTTCTCTTTCTTTCTTTCTTTCTTTCTTTCTTTCTCCTTTTTCCTTCTCTCAATCTTTTTCTTATTTCTCTCTCTCCTTCCTTCTTTCTTTCTTGCTCTCTTTCTCCTGTTTCTTCTTTATTTTTCTTTCTGTCTTTCTTTCACTCCTTTCTTTTTTCTTTCTTGCTTGCTTGCTTTCTTTCTCTACATAGTCCCCCTCTTCCCTCTTCTTCTTTTTTGTGTCTGTTTCAGAGTAATAAATATGAACAGAGGCTCTGGAGTTCTGCATGTTCTGTGAGTTGGTTCTCTGTAGTAACGCCAGGAACGTAGTGGTCTAATCGGGGGGCTCTTATCTGGAGCTGCTCCGCGCCCGGCGGAGAGGGCAGGAATGTGTCCCGGACGCACACACTCGGAGCCCCTCAGCGACGGGGTTAGCGTTTGCCTAAATTCCACTCACTTGAATTATGTGGACGCGGCCGGCGGGCGTGGGAGTTTGTTGTGTCTGGTTCTGGCACAGAGAGCTGTTCAGCTGTTAGATGGTGATGATATTTTGTGATATCAGCATCCATAATTATCACGGTTTTCAAAATATACTCAAGTTGTGTGAAGCCCTGTGTGGACGTGGTTAGTTTTACATGAAGAAGTTGGGTAACCCAGCATTTCTCAGTGATTTTGTCCCTGTCTGAATGCATTTTTACATTATTAATCCTGTGGAAACAGACATACAGATTTACAAGGTGTGGAGTCACTCAAAGAAGCGTTTACTTGAGCTCTCTGTGGCCAAAATCAGGTCGATAGGTAACGTTGCTGTCCTGAACATGTAAAAATAACAGAAAAATGTTTGACTTTATGTGGCGAAGTCAAATGTTACTTAACAGAACAAGGTGAATGTTTAGGGTAAACAAAAAAAACGGCTAAATTAAATGTTTTAACCTGTTTTCTACTCTTTTCTGGAGCAAAGGTAGAGTGTAAATCTACCTTCCTATCTACTGCCTGTGTTGCCTGTGTTGACTAGTTTCCTTGACTGGTTTCTTTAATTGTGAATTATTCAAATGTAAACATTATTTTTTTGTTTTAATCTCACAATTTATTATTAATTGTTAACTCTGTCAAACCAAACATCTTGCTGGTGATACATTCAGAGACGATACTGCGTGCATTCTGACCGCCAGAGTAGTTGCAATGCATGCATGTCATAGTGAAATGGATCAGCATGTGTTATCGGAGCTTTCTGTGAGCTAACATGTTTCCTATCACTGTATAAAAGAAGCTCCATGCTGCCTTTATTGTTGGCTGCACTGTGATAGTTTCTGAACGAGTGTGCACACACTTTCAGAGATCTATTTAGAGTTATTTCTTCTTGCAAAACTACCATTTTATCAGTGAGAATTTGGTCACTGCTTTCAAATATGAAACATTGTGTGTATTAATTTTATTATAAGCTTATTGTTGATGCTGTAAAGCCTTTTCAGTGTTAATTATCAATTGAGTATTATGGAAACAGCTCCATTAAACAAAAAAGATGAGTAAAATTAACAGCTTCATAGAAAGAGGTTGGAACCTATAGAATATTAGCATCATTTATAATCGTTTTATTAATGTACACCAGCATTCGAATGGTTAGAATCGCCATTCAAAGGTGATGCTATTTTTTTTTTCATAATATAGAAGAAATTTGGTTGCAGATAAATGTGTAAAATCATAACATGTTCAAAGGTTTTATATCATTACTTGGACTCTTGGACACTGTAGGTAAAAATGAAATGTTAGATGCATCTTGAATGATGAACAGAGCTTTAGAACATTCTAAAATGACTAAGAAAGTGGTAGAACAATGATTAATATCAAGAGTTCATCATATTTCAAAAGTGGAGATCAAATCTCTTGACAGGAATGAATGCAAATAGAGGTAGGTATATATGCAGGTATATATTTCTTATCATTTAATAACATCTTTTTCTCAATTTTTTTTTTAAATATTGAATAAAACTTCTGACTTTACTGTAAATATAAAATAAAAAATACTAATATGGCAGATGTTACTCTATATGCCTATACAAGCAACAAAACTGGTTTTGAGTGATTTTAAAGCAGGTGAATCCAAACTTTTATACTTTGTTGTACGTTCCTGTTCATGTTGCTGATGGAGAAGAGTGGATGAAACGACAGAAATAGCTGCTTTTTCTCTGGCTTTGAGGGATTAATGGTCCCATCCCTGGTTGGAAGTTAAAGGCGGGATCTGGAACAGAGCGTGAACTCGACAGTGCTGTGCGAGTTGATGCCAAACAGTGTGACAACAGCGGCGGTCCGCTGTGATCTTAGGCTATCAAAATGTCATCAATACACCCCTCATCAGCTTAATGAATGGCAAATGCAGACTCTCTCTGCTCTCTCTCTCCCTCCCTCTCGGGCGCTCCCTCTATCTCCTCTCTCTCTCTTAATGAGAAGGCTCGAGTAAGTGCTGACCACTGCAAGAGGCATTTTACTATGCAAATCACGCCAACTGATGGGCAATGCAGATTTGTTAACGCTACGTGTCACTTTCTTCTGATGTCTGACAACATTCTGGAGAATTCTGACTGGCAGTGTGTGGACACAGCGTTTACGGTTATGAGTCGGGCTGCGAGTCACCAGCGTTTATTGCAAGCGCAGCGCAGATTCTGGCTGATTATTAGATGAGTAAATATCACTGAAGTCAAAAGTACTTTCTGTATGTAGTGAAAGAAAAAAAAAAATCAAATGTCGACGAGTGTTAAGATGCATTTAGGTCGTTCTGAGAACTCCTGGAATTAGTTTGTCACCATTCAGATCAACATTTGTGGTTGGATTTCATCACGTTTGTGTGTTTTTTCCTCTCTGTTTGACTCAGCCATGTTTATGTGGGTTGTGTAAATTTAAGGGACGCCCCCCGCCTTTAGAAAATGGTATCAATTCCTGTTTGTAATTTGCTGATCATCTGCATCTCTCTCTCTCTCTTTCTCTTTTTCTCTCTCTCTGTGTGTATGTGTGTGTGTGTGTGTGTGTGTGTGTCATATGATATTCCAGATCGAGTACTCTATCGTCGATGTTCACTCCCCCTTCTGTCCTGTGCTGAATTCTGATAGAAAGAATGGAATGTCAGTCGTGTCAAAGCTACTGACTAAGGTATGTTATCACCTCAGCTTGTGTTTGTTTGCTTTCACCATTCAGTTCCATGTATATGTCCAAAATCTTGTAGGCTCCTCTTCATAAACATTTCTTCTGAAATGAAGGGTATTAATAATGAGTTTGTCCCCCTTTGCTGCAGTAACGGCCTCTACTCTTCTTGGAAGGCTTTACACTAAATGTTGAACGTTGCTGTGAGGTTTTGATTGAGCATTAGTGAGGTCAGGTACTGATGTTGGATCAGTTCTGGAACTCCAGTTCATCCCAAAGGTACTGGATGGAGCTCCATCACTCAGAAACATAGTTCCACTGCTCCACAGTGCTGGGGGGCTTTATATATTCTTTATAGATTCTTTTTCTGAAAGATATTGCAGTTTCAATTTAAATGCTATTATTGTCTACATATTAACTCCAGTGGCCACTTGCACCGAAAGTCTTAAGAGAATTTCCCTTTGTAGCCGTATGCAAAAGTTTGTGCGCCCCTGGTCAGACAACATATTGTTGATTTTCTAAGTGAAAATAAGTGAACATCCCCTACAGAGAACACACTTCTCCACATTGTAGTTCATAGTTACTGATAATTTGCTGAATTTAACAAATATGGTGGGGGCAGTGGTGTGGGGGTTATTTAAGTGGTGTGGGGGTTATTTAAGTCAACAAAATATTGCGTTTTGTCTGTGGGTTCTTTGCATATGACTGTACCTAATAGGTTTCAGCATTTCAGCTTTTCACAGGTATGAAGTTTTTATATTGAAATTTACAGCTTTACATTTATACTTTGAGTAATAATATATATCATACTTTCAGTATAAATATATAACTTAAATACTTAAAATATTTTATGCAAGGGGCCACAGGCCACCTTTGCAAAGTAAACTAGCACATCCCTTTTTTGGTCTTGAAGCTCAAACGCTGTAGAGTGCCAGGCTACCAGTTTGCAAGCTCTGCATTATTAGGTTAAAGTTCCCCACTTAAAACTTGTTAACAATTTTGAAAAATGTGGGACATAATTCAAGCTGACCTCTTGGCAGTGGGCTTAGGGAGGGTTTTACAGAGTGAGCAAAATGCCTTTTTTTTTTTTAATGCTGCTCTATTTATTGGACATGATGAGAAAATTAGCCTGATGGCTTATTGTGCATGTCGCAAGAAGCCTAAATAAACTTTATGCTGTCAAGTCTCACGGTTAGGTTACCACAAGACTTGCGTCTTTTGCCTTTGCTGTGGTCTCACGGCAGTAAATGTAAATCTCATAGTGTGCGAAGGTTGGTTTACCGTAAGCTGCACATCAGCCAGTACTGGGATCAGATAAGAGTTTGCAGTGCACTGACCATTTTTGGTGCATAAAACCACACAAATGTCATAAGTGGACTTCAAAGGAAAAAAATAATGACATACAAGAAAAATGTAGCATATAGGCCCTTTAAGGCCTTGGACAACTGCTGAATTAAACATCCTCTGATGGGAGGAATAAAATACAGAATATATCGCTGCTGTCAGAAAAACCTCATGTCTCCAAATTAGTAACTTTACAGGAGAAGGAAAAAACATACTTTACTTTTAATGTAAGTCAATAGAAACAGACTTTTTTCAAAGTAATTTTGGGTTGTTTCTTTTGGTCCGTTCATCATGAAATTCACAGACAATGTAAAAGGCAACAGGCATTTTCAGATTATGTCAAAAACTGAAAAATATTTTTTTATTTCTAATCGTGAACACCAGTGTTTTAGGGTCTGTATGCAGTTCAATTCAACTGCTCATGCTTCTGTGTGGAGATTAAGCTTCGTGTGTGCAGTTGAACGCTTGTATCAGCAATAGGTGCTTCTTAAAATAGCTAAATTAATTTAAAGGCCTGGCTAGACACTTTTGAACATAGTGTGTCCTGACCAGTATTGCAATTGTGATTTAAATGCCATTATTTTCTATGAATTGTGGCTCAGTGGTCAATTGCATAAAACATCTGAAGTGAATTCTGGCCCTCAATTTTCCATCTACCTTAAGTAAACTACCAGGGAAACTTTAATAGTGGAAAGTGGGGAAAACATATTGACATAAATATGCAAAAGTTTGTGTGACTCTGTTCAAATTACATATTTTGTTTGTTTTTTTATGCTCCATACAGTAAATGTTGCTGAACTACTGGTAATCTTAGCCGTCCTCTGTGAAGCATTTCCATTTTTAAACTTCACTGAAACCCACACACCCGTCCAAACTTCCTGTTTACCTATTCTTCGTCTCTTTCCGGACTTTTTGGACGTGCAAACCACATTGGTGGGCTGTGGTTCAGTGGTCTTTTTGCTCTAAAGGCATTCTCCAGCTCGCCTTAGTCACTGCTGACCTGCCTTGCGTGTCAGCAATAGCCTATTTTTATGCATCAGTCATTCACTATTCTTTGTGCCGCCCTGCATACTTTTTCTGCGCTGTCGTTTTGGTTCAGTGCCAGCCAGGCTGCCAGGCCCACTGACCCTCCACCCCCCCCCGCCCCAAACTCGCGCACCCTCCCCGATGGAGAAGCGAACGTGACATTTGTGCCGAGGTAATGGAATCCACGTGCAATTAAATCCCCGACTGTGAAGAAGACTCTATCGGCGCCTCCCTCCGCGCTCATCCCTCCATCCTCTCCTCCACCCGCAGTCAGCAGGAGGGAAGCGAGCCACGGAGACGGAGCAATCGCAGCACGCCTCTCTCCTCGCATCTCCATGTCAGCTTTTGTTTTTAGAGCTCCTCTCCGAAAAAGCACTCTCTCCTGGCAATTAATTACGGTAAATGTCAATTAAAACAAAAAAAAAAATCAACCCCCCTCCTCTTCCTTCCTGCCTCAAAACAATAATATAGTTGGGGAATTAAATTTCAATTATAAAAATTACGTTAGAAGGGGGGCGACGTTAACGTCGCTTTAATGAATTGCGCTGAAGGTGACAGTTGTTATTTTGCAGGCGGCGCGGGCGACCCCTGGCTCATGGTGATAGAAATGCGAAGTGGAGGATGGAGGGAGGGAGGGAGGGATGGCAGAGAGAGGGAAAGGAAGAGGAGGAGGGGGTTATATTCCCATGCTGCAGCAGTGGCCACTACACTTAACGCCTCATTTGCGGTCTTGTGGTGGGCAGTGGCTTGAATCATTGATCTGTGCCAATGAGGAGAAGCTTCGAGCCCTTCAGTCTCCCCCTCTCTCTCTCTCTCTCTCTCTCTCTCTCTCCCTCCCCCCCCCTCTCTTTCTCTCTCTCTCTCTCTGTGGTCTGTTTCTTTCTTTTTTATTTTTTTTATCTCTCCATCCCCCTTTTTCTCCCCTTTCTGTCTCTCACTGTCTCACTTCTGCTTGCTCTGTTTCGCCCACTCTTGTTCTTTCTTCTGTCTCCCCTCTGTCTTTCTCTGTCTCTTTCTTTTGCATGCGCTACTCCTCCTTCTCCTCCTGTCTTCTTTCTTTCTTTACTTTCTTTCTTTTTTATCTCTCTTTTACTCCTTCACTCTCTGCTCGCTCTCTCTCGCTCGCTCGCTCTCCCCTTGTGTGCTCTTCTCCTCTCTTTCTTTGTTTTTTCTTTTTTCCTCCTTTTCTCTGCCGTTTTTTCTCTCTCCCCTCTCTCTCTCTTTCTTTTGCACTCCTCATCCTCCTCTCTCTCTCTTTCTTTCTTCTTTTACTCCTTCACTTTTGCTTGCTTCTTGCTCTGTCTTTCTCTCTTTCCTTCTCTCTCTCTCTCTCTCTTTTTCTCTCCCTCTCTCTCTCTCTCTCTCTCTCTTTTTCTCTCCCTCTCTCTCTCTCTCTCTCTCTCTCTCTCTCTCCCCCTTGTGTGCTCTCCTTTTTTCTTTGCTTCTTTCTTTCACTCTTTACTCTGGCTTACTCTCTTGCGCTCTCTCTCTCGCTCTCTCTCTCTCTCTCTCTCTCTCTCTCTCTCTTGCTCTCTCTCTACCTCCTTCCCTTGTGTGCTATCCTTTTCTCTTCTTTCTTTCTTTCTTTCTTTCTTTCTTTCTTTCTCTTCTTTCTTTTTCTTTGTTTCTCTTCTTTCTTTTTCTTTCTTTTTCTTTCTCTCTTTCTTTCTTTCGCCCTCTCTTCCTCCTTCACTCTTGCTTACTCCTTTGCTTGTTCTCTCTCTCTCTCTCTCTCTCTCTCTCTCTCTCTCTCTCTCTCTCTCTGCTGATGATGCGTTTGGCCGGCGGTGATGCTCCAGGCTCCTCTTCCTCACTCCTTCACATCTTTGGTGAGGGATCTTTGCAGACAGAGACAGTAAAGCAGGGGAGCGCGCTGCAGGCCAAGAAGCAGCTTCCTGGAGGTCTCTCCAAACTAGAGCTGCACGATATTGATAAAGGTCAATATCACAATACTTTCAGTACACTGTCACAATATCAGATGAGAGTTAAGTTAGCATTAATAAAGTTAATGGGTGCTACTGCTCTGTTGCCGCATATACGTTTTAGAAAGCTGACAGCTTGTTTTGACAGTATTGTAAATGCTAACCAGACAGGAAACACATTTTCAGAAGGGAAACCTGCTGTTTATTTCATTTTTCTTCATTTTAAAAACAAGCTGAGGCACCGATCAAATGACTTATACTGCTGTGAAGTGTCGGGTCATAAATACCATGAGTAAAGTACAAAATGGAATAAAACAGAAAAGAGAAATTGTTTTTCAACAATTGATGTGACGCTCATTGTCAAGTATATCACTAAAAATGCTAATACTGAAAAGCAATATAACAATATTCTAATATAGACAAAATATAGCATAGGCCTTCTTCAAAAGGCAGCGCTAGTTGGAGATGGGAAGGGTGCAGGAGGTTTTAGGTTGGGTGGGACACAGTGAGGATTTCCAGTTTGGGTGGTCAGGCTGGGATCTGGCCTACTGCCCCCTCAGCACACCCTCTTGGTCTCGGGCACAGGGTCTGGACATCAGCCCTGAGCACGGAAAGGAGGGGCGTTCACACATCCTCTAGATAAAGCGAATAAAAGAAAAGATCCAGCTGAAGTGTGAAGATAGACTAAGCTTTAGGGACTGATTATTTTGTCCTTTT